TATATATATATATATATATATATATATATATATATATATATATATTGAAGAAAGTTGAAACCCTTGACTTCCATAGTAGGAAAAACAAAAGCTATTCAAGTCGGTGGTTACAGTTTTCCCAATTTCTTCAAAATAACTTATTTTGTGTTTAACAGGAGAAAGTAATGCAAAGGTTTAGAACAAGTGAAGGGTGGGTAAATGTTGATGTAATTTGTAGTTTTGGGTTAACTATTTCTTAAAGAGTTATTTTTTGTATTGCTACTGTATATTCAAATAATATTTCACTATGGGTTCAATGGGATGTTAATATGTTAATAAGTCTGCAAACATGTTTCATGCTTGCTAATGAGTTGTTGTCTGTCTGTACCTAGTTGAAAATGCAAATCATTATTGCACATTACTCAGTTTGACTTTGCACATTGATCATAGAATACATTGAATGTTATGGTGTTACTTTTGTGAATAAATGCATTTCCCTATTTTTGTGTTAGACATGTATTTAGGCTAATGTACAGATTCCAAAATAGAACTAAGCTAAAATATTTAAATATAGTCCACCCAAAATGGGTTAAAGGGACAGTTCACCCAAACTGAAATTTCTGTCATCATTTACTCATCCTTTTCTCCATACCTGCTTGACTTGATCTGTTGAACATCAAGGAAGATATTTTAAAAGAAAGCTGGAAGTCATTGATTTCCATAGTCCTTTTTCCTTCTGTTGATGAGAATGGTTACAGGGTTTCAGCTTTCTTCAAAATATCTTTGAAGCAGAGGAAAGACACTCGTAAATATTTCAAACCACACAAGGGTGTGTAAATGCTGAGTTTTTATTTTTGGGTGAAACTTAATTTTCATTTGTTCGAAATCTGTTTGAGTAGCTTTCTTTTTTTGAACAAAAAAAAAATATATATATTTTTAATGCTGGTAACTTAATAAAAAAAATCACCATTCAGGTTCTTTTAAATACTTTAAAAATGATCGGAAAATGTGAAGAAAGATTCATTTGTCAAAAAAATGTAGTGTAATCAGAATAAATCACTTTTATGTTTCTATATAAAGGCCTGGATCTAGAGCACAAATGCAAACTGAAATGAACATTCCATCTCTTGCGTCGCGCACACACACCAGCAACAACATTAATAGAAACGTTGCAAAAAAAAAAGAAAAAGATTCTACAAAAACCATACCTAAAGCACAAAAATCAACACTGAACATGTATGTTGTTTACTCACACATGTCTGCATGGGGTTTCTATACATACATATATAATCAATCATTTTAATCATGACGGAATTTATCAAGAATAATGCAGAGATTCCAAAATAGAACTAACTCTAAAATACCTACATGTGGCCCACCCTGCTATTTAGTTAAAGAGACAGTTCATAATTGAAAAATCTGTCATTACTCACCCTTTGCTATAATACAAAATTGCAATAAATTTTGGAATCTTAAAATATATAATCCTGTGTATAATTTAATAAAATATCTAATTTGTGTAAAAAATAAATACTTTTTTTTTTTAAAAAGTCAGGAAAAAATAGCATAACATGCAAGTTGAAAAGTAACTGTGAAAAAAGATAGTTTATCATATAAAACTGTCTAGCTATGGGCTAATTAAGGGTTAATATAATAGGTTTTGTCAATTTCTCATCACATGCGTCTTTGCAATTCTCCTGTCACATTCAGGTCCCTTGTACTAAAAATGTTGGTAAATTGCTATTTGTATAACAATCATTTTAATACAAATACTCAAAGGATCATAAAAAGTCAATGGATCCCAACATTTTTCAGATTATCTTATTTTGATTTCAAAAGAAGAAAAAAATCTCTTAACAGGTATGTGGAAGGGTTTGTAAATGATACAGAATTTTCATTTTTGGGTGATCAATCCCTTAAAAAGTTTTTTTTTTTTTTTTTTTTTAGTAAACCATGATTTTTAAAAAAGTGTAAACCAGTATAACATTGTACTTTGTACTGTTTTACTTGTGCAATCTTTAGTTCTTTTTAATGTTTTGTTAGACTCCATTCACAATCCCCAATATGGGGAACCCTGAGATTTGAGCTACTTTAAATGACAATGTTCTTTTCACTTCTGAATAACATGTGTACACGATTTCACGTCAATAGAAATCAACGCTATTTTTAAGCCTATTTGAAGAGGCATCTTGCTTTCTTGTCCATACAAAATGTTGTCATGGCAACCATGGTTTCCGCCAAAATGCCCCTTACAAAAACGACATTCTCCTCCTGAAATCCTCAAAAGAAAGCCCCTCAGAACCTGCACACACATATTCACAAACAGTCCCACGGTGATTCGTGTGGGATTACTGTATCAAATATGATAGCACAAAACTGTAGTGCAAAATACATTTATTTAAATCAAGAAAACGTAATCTTAATGGTGTGAAGAACAACTAAAATCTTTATTTTTACAACGCACCTATGCTAATTTAGACACGATGATGTTTTGTACACGACAAAGCTAACGCACAACAGAAGCCTTCAACATTCACTGAAAGTGAAAGACTTGTATGAGTAAAACATTTAGTCAAATAAGAAGCACAGCAAATCTTTGCAACTTAAAAAGCAAAACAGTGCATCGTATTGTTATCATGTGGTTTATGGTTACCCGACTACCGCGGGCTTTGTCTCGTTAAGTCAACCCTAATCGGGCATAATGTCTTTCATTTGTCTCATTGAAGGGGGAGGGGAGTGAAAGTATAGAGGAAGAGAGGGGGATTTAACATTCACAAAAAAGGCGACACCAACAGAGAATGCGAGATGGAGAAAAACGAGTAAGTAGAACTGATTTAACTAAATAAACGTATTAAATTGCGACCCGCGTTAGCGTTTATCGTCTACTAGCAACGCGTTAGCATTTGATAATGCGAGTCTCCGTTTTGCCGGGGCTAACGTTAACGTTACTAGTTGGCGCAGCGATGGTTTTAAAGAAAGAAAACGTGTATAGCGTTTCATAATTATTATTACGCGACAACAAAGCGGCTACTTGTGTATAAGAGATAAGATGGAGTCTTTGCCGGCGTTTTTACGTCTTAAGATGTAAATGGCAGCAGATATCGATAAGTAAACTGTTTATTTAACGTTGTTTTGCTGGACCAGGTGCAGCATCTGTTTTCATCCCGTCATTTTAGGGCACCATGTTAAGCTAATAGTTAGCGCACAATGCGAGCTAGTTTTTAGTGATATTTCATTCAATGCATCGCTAAAGTATTTGTGCGAGAATGTCTTCGGTTAACTGGTAATGCATTATTTGTTTAAATCTGCATTCTAGAGATGCTGTAGCATTGTCTGCAACGAAAATACGCATAGATTTTAATCTATGAATGCCTTTGCAGGTTTATGGCATCTGTACAATGCACACGGCATAAGTGTAGACTATTTTGCAAGCGGAGGAATCTTTCATTGAGCAGAAGAGCACAAATAAGTGATGAGCCGGCGGAATGTTTTGGAAAGGACATTATTTAACATGGTTACTTTTGTAGGTGCTCCCTAATTTTAAACATGCTAAATTATAACAATGTCAAGATATGAAACTGTGTAGGGCTGAAAGTAGGATTGTTTTGAGTGAAGATGGAATAGCCATGTGTGTTATGTTAGGCAGTGAGTACAGACTGTCATGTAAAAGTAGGCCCAGCTGTGGATAGGATTTTTGTTTGCTTTATTTTAGGAGGGGGTTGGGATGCCCTGTCAGTTGAGGATGAATCCCATATAAATTAAACTGGCTTTTTTTGTTCAATCTCGATTTTTACGTTAGTTTTGGGTGCACAAAATGTATGTAAAAGAATCCATAAAGAACAGGAGAATCACCTGTGTGAGGTGCTAGTTATAGAAAAAGGATGATTGATTTTTCTTGGAAGGAACAAAGAATTATTGCAATAAATGCCAAGAGTGATGGAAAGCCATATTTATCTGTTAAAAGTTTTGGTAATTTGTTTAAAGAGGTTTTATTAATTACCCAGAATTGGTTTTGTTTTTTTGCATTGTAATTCTGTCTCCCAAATATTAGGATAAATGTGTGAAATAAATGTTTTTCCCGAGTAATAGTTTGTTTGACAAAACAATACGTTTGGTTTGGAAATACTCACACTTCTCAGTTCCATAGGTTTTATTGTAGTATATCTGTTAAGGGTATGTTAACAGGACAAAAATGTAGTTTGTGCAATGCAGTTTTGATAAGTTGTGCTCAGATGACAGATGTTTTTTGGTGTTGTGAATAATCTCTATTTACATTCCCTCGAAAATGACTGGCAAGACTAATTATGCATGCCAGGCCAGTAGATGGCAAAGTCACTTTGCCTACACACATGCATTTCGAAATTACTGTATTGACCTTATTTTTCAATGCGGAAGTGCGCCCGTTTTCGCGACATCCGATTTAATTTTCGATGGGAGAAATGACTAAGAATAATAAACGGTCAAACAACTTGCTCCACAAGCTAGTGTGTTTATGGCTATACATTAAAAAAATAGAATAATAGATAAGAAAATATCAGTTTGCAACATCAAGCAGCATACCAAGCTGTTTTTAACGTCTAAAAATGAATTGAAGTCAATAGGACCAGAAGTATCAAGTCAAAAAGATTCCAATGGCTGTGCTCTCTCGTACGTCAAGAATAAGGTGAAAATATACATCAAGTACTGCTAATGTCTTTAATTGACTGAACATTTCATAGGCATGTGTAATACAGCACTGTTCTGACAAAAATAACGTCATAGTTTACAGAGAGACAATCACAGTAGTTTAAAAACTTTGAGATGATTTAAAACATTGTGTTTTCAGTTCCACCACATGCCATTGCCATGTAAATAAACATCAAAGTGCAAAAGGGTTCCATTCAGTTGAAAACTTTAGCAAAATGGCCCTTAAATTGATATATGATGGTCAAAATTTCAGAGGATTCTTGATTAATTGGTTATCTCTGTTGATAATTATTATTTTTTTTTTTGGAGGCTTTATTAACATTTCTGATTGCTCAACATCGTTATCTTATTCTATTGTTTCATGGCATGTTGAGAACCGTTATTAATGATTTATTTGGAGCCTTTCTTCATTGGTTTGTCAACTGTTAAATCATATCTGATGGTCTGAATTTTACCAATTTTCCATCGATTCCTCACCACCGACATGTCACAAATAGACATGACTGTTCTTTTTTTAGCAGAGGTGAGGAAGAGGAGGAAGAACAGAGGCGGGAAAGGGGGGAGGCAGGTCGTTTGTATAGTTTATGGTATTGTATTACTTGATTAAAAAACCTCTATGTTGTTATATGTTTGCACGCCTTGAAAAGCTTGAAGAACCATCGACTAAATCCAAAAAGACAACAAAAAAAAAGTTTGTGCATGAACTTAAAGCACGAAATGCTCATATTATCATCATACAGAATATTCAGTGAACTCATCTTTGCATCACACTTGTGTCAACTAACATTTACTAGAGTATCTCTGCAAGGGTTTCATTCAGATGCAAAAGAGCAACTGCTCAGGGAAGAATGGCAGTGAGAACTAGAGAAACAGTATCGCCATTATTTCAAACTATGGACAGTCTAGCGAAACAAATGCAAACATTTGGCAGAGCAGATTGACAAGGACAGCTTACAGAGCTTCAAAGGATACATTGAAAACCCTAGACATTGTATTCATATGTTCAGGATTGTATTCATATGTTCACAGCACTTATGAGAAAGTTCCTTGAGTTTAGAGCATGTTTAGAGCAACTTTTTTATGACGAGCCAAAAATCAAACTTGGTTGAGACTAGTGGGCCGAATGCAAGTTCAGTGGTCATGGGTAATTTCCTAATTTATTTAATATTTAAAAATCACTAGAAAACATTGCTTTATATTAACTAATACAGTATTATTTATACATTTTATAATGAACATATTACAGTAAAAACCAAACAATCTCATTTATAACAGAATTCCATTCGTTTTTGCTTGGATTTGCTCGCTAATGTCTTCTGTGTCTGTCGAGTGAAAGTATTTTTATTTCAGTTAGCTTTTTTGTAGCTCAGCAATAAATAAAAAGAGGTTACATCAAATTATAAATGACGATCTCTTTTAAAAGGTGATCGCTCCAACACTTTCCATCGGGATGGTGGACAAAATCAAAGCTTACAATGTGCCCTACTTTGGGTATATCTCTAAATTTTTAAATAAACATTTTAATTTAAGTTTTTAATGATTATAAACAACTTTAATGAATCGGTATTTATTTTATAAACAAGAGCTCTTTCATTAATATTTTAACCAGTCAGTTCATGTGCTTTTTAAATATTAAAATCACGTTTTAAATGTGATTTTAATGTTGTCATTGTTGGTGTTAATGACAAAGTGGTCTAGTTTTCTCACTTTTCGTGGTCTAATAACATTGTCATGTTGTCATCACAGGCTTGGGATCTATCAAAATCCGTTTCAAGTTAGGCATTGCATGCCATTGTTTGTGTATTTTGTGTGTTAATCTCCGTATGCAACTACAAAATCACCATAACCCATTATCTTACCAAATGTTGGATTTATCCAGTCTTTGAGATGTCCTATTTTGCTCCCCCTTCCTCAGCCCCACAGGAAAGAAGTTCCGGAGCAAGCCTCAATTGGCTCGTTCCCTTGGCAACTCCATGGATCTCAGCTCTTTTGATTTCCGTACTGGGAAGATGCTCATGAGCAAACTGAATAAGAACAGACAGAGACCCAGATACGACAACAACAGCCAGTCAAAGGTGAGATGACGTGGATCAGCTCGGGCCTCTGAAAAATGCTTTTATTTGCTCAATTTGTGTTGTATTTGCAAAACATTTGTTTATATTTATTTATGTGCCAGATTTATAGCAGCAGTTAGGTAAAGGTTTTAAGGTTGCATCTACATTAATCTGCATACATTTGAAAAAAATTAGTTGAGAAATCAATTTCGGAATTTTCAAAATGCATTACTCTTCCTTGTTAAATCAGTTTTCTGTTTTTGGTTTAATTTTTAACAGCAGGTAGCACTGTTTGTATTTCTAACAACTATGCTTGCATCCACTCCCCTACAAAATAACACTTGATTCTAATGTAATTATTAATAAAGTTTGGAAAATTTTAAACAAATTACAAGAGTTGACTTGCATGAGCCAAACGCACAATGGACTATATGCACAGCTAGAGTATTCCAGCCAATGATGAACTTCTGGTAAAAGCATTATGTGACTATTTTCAATTTCATGAGGTTCCTTTTACTGCATCGATGTTGTGATGTAGTTTAAATATAATTAGTTAAATAGGCTAAAGCTTTCATTTGATTGTTAAAGTGTAAAAAGAGAGAAAAGACCATTTAAACAGGCGCTGTTATAGCGGCAAGATGGTGCAGAAATTCCATTGAAAATACTTGGGTAAAATTAATTTCCAAATTTGAAAGACATTGCATCAGATCTTGAACGCATTGATTTTGACAATTAACCAGAAGCCCTGTGGCTGGCTGACTGAAATTAAAAGTCCATGTGCCCATTCTTCTTGTGAGCATTTAAATGTATGGGTAAAAATTAGTGTAGAGCGCCAATCGCTGTTCAAAACTAAGCTTGGAATCGATTCAAGAGAGAATATCGATACATTTTAAACATCTTAGAATCGTTTTATATAAATTACAAAAAAATTTTGGCATATCACACACTTTAAAACAGAAACTGTTTTATAAAAGTTCTCAGGTTCCCAAATGGCTGTTGCTGTGTAAATAAACAGCTAAAAACATTTAGTTTTAACTGGTATTGAAGAACCCAGAGCATTGCCAAAACATAAAAATGTTGCATTTTTAAATGTATCCAGATTAGTGTGGACATAACATAGACCAGGGGTGCTATTTCCTGTTCCTAGAGATCTAACTTCCAGCAGAGCTCCAACCCTGGTCAAACACAACTAAACTAGCAAAGTAGGATCTAATGGAGCACTTGGTAATCCAAGACGGGTAAGTTTGATCAAGGTTCCAGCTGAACTCATGCAGCAAGGTCGAACTCCAGGAACAGGATTGTGCACCCCTTATAAAAACAGTGTAGACGGAATGACCCCTGCTTAGCTATTGAAGAATATATTTAGCAAGAGTTCAGACTTAGATATTGCTTGACGCTATTAGCAGGTTTGGCATGCTGTCTCTGAAGAGAACCCTGAGCTCGGAGATAATTGAGCCCAGGGCTCCTGCCTAGTCAGTAAGCATATGAGGTGGTCCAAGATCAGGTAGGTCTCGAGAGCTCCTCCAGGTAAAGGAAGGAAAAGGAGGAGATGGGGTAGAAGTAAGGATTCTTCCAAATCGAAGGTAAGGTAGTAGGGCAAAATCAGTCGATTGAAAGCTTGAATCAATCTAATTGGATTATTGCTGATTATGGATGAGAGGCCAGCCGTGATCAATCATATCACATGCTCCTCTCAAAACTAGTTTGTAAAACTTCACTTAAAACCAATTAAAGCCATTTTAGTCAAGTTCTGCTGGTCAAGCTGGTTTACCTGCAACAACAGTCAGTAACATATCAGTGATTCCCATCTTAAACCAGTTTTTTATCAGTGTATTTAAGTGTCTTTTGTCTCTTTACAGGGTAAACCCGACTTAAATACATCCCTCCCAGTACGACAGACGGCCTCCATCTTCAAACAACCCGTTACAAAAGTTACCAACCATCCCAGCAATAAAGTTAAAACAGACCCACAAAAGGCTATTGACCAGCCCCGACAGGTAACACTCATCAAAATGCTTGTTTAAACATACTGTTATTGGTTTGTCATAGTGACGTGATGCTATCGCCATTTTCATCGACAGCTCTTTTGGGAGAAGAAGTTGAGTGGCCTCAATGCCTTTGACATAGCAGAAGAGTTGGTCAAAACAATGGATCTCCCCAAAGGCTTACAAGGTATGTCTGGACAAGATCACAACGAGAATCAAAGACTGTTTATTTTAACCATAAATAAATAAAATTCTCTGAGTTTGTGGAAAAAAGAAAAAAGGTTTATTTAATAGCAAGCCAGAGCACACAAACAACAGCAGAAAAAAGATGAGACGCAAACATGAATGGTATTTATACTCAGGAATTTGTGCACTAACACAAAACAGGTGAACACAATCAGGGCCAGGCCTTAAAACAACTAGAGACGATTAGCTTTCAAAATAAAAGTCAATGTGGATATATCAAAATAAAAGCATAGCATTAAAAACACACCTTTAGCTTAGTTATAACATGCTGTGGACTACAAACCTCCAGCTGTTGCCATGATTTCAAAATGCAGATGGTGTAAACTTCACTTTAATATAATTCAGTTAAGTTTAATTTAATCAATTAAAACCATATTAGGCTTCAAACTAGATCATAATCTCTTTAGATGAATAGCTTTAGTGTCCTCCTAGACTTCAGTACATGGCACCAGGTAAATACCATTGGGGCTTCCCTGCCTATGTAACCTGGTAAGAGATAGAACAATGCAGTCCACTGTAGCACATCCTAGTGTTGTGTGTAATAGTGTTTTCACAATATTGAAATTTTTAAAACCTTCATTTATCGCTAACATTTAAGCACCACTGAGCGCATTCTTAAACACAGCTGATATGCCATAGTATTCACCAGTGCTGAACAGAAATTACTGTGATTGGCCGTGAAGGTCATCACTCCACTGCTCTGCACTTGTGCAAAAGTGCAAAAGGAAGATTGAAAGATAGGGCTAAAGATCCAGAAGAAGAGCGAAAAAAAGACCAAACGAGCCAAAGGAACAGCGAAAAAAAGCAGAGGAGCAAAAGGAAGAGCAAAAAAAGAGCAAAAGGAAAAGCAAAAGTGCAATAGGAAGAGCGAAAAAAGAGCAAAAGGAAGAGCGACAAAAGAGCAAAAGGAAGAGCGAAGACAGAGCAAATGAGCATAAGAAAGAGCAAAAGGAAGAGCGAAAAAGCAAAAGAGCTACAAAAGAGCAAAAGGAAGAGCGAAGACAGAGCAAATGAGCATAAGAAAGAGCAAAAGGAAGAGCAACAAAAGAGCAAAAGGAAGAGCGAAAAAGAGCAAAAGGAGGAGTGACAAAAGAGCAAAAGGAAGAGCGAAGACACAGCAAATGAGCATAAGAAAGAGACAAAAAAGAGCAAAAGGAAGAGCGACAAAAGAGCAAAAGGAAGAGCGAAGAAAAAGCAAATGAGCATAAGAGCCAAAAAAGAACAAAAGAGCAAAAGGAAGAGCGACAAAAGAGCAAAAGGAAGAGCGAAGAAAGAGCAAATGAGCATAAGAAAGAGACAAAACAGAACAAAAGGAAGAGCAACAAAAGAGCAAAAGGAAGAGCGAAAAATTGCTAAAGGAAGAGCCAAAAAAGAACAGAAGAGCAAAAGGAAGAGCAACAAAAGAACAGAAGAGCATAAGGAAGAGCAACAAAAAGGCAAAAGGAAGAGCGACAGAGCTAAGGAGCAAAAGGAAGAGCCAAAAAAGAACAGAAGAGCAAAAGGAAGAGTGAAGGAAGAGCAAAAAAGAGCAAAAGGAAGGGCGAAAGAGAGCAAAAAAAAAGCATAGCAAAAATGCTTTTATTTTAAGAACAAAAAAGAGGGACAAAAGAGCAAAAGAAAGCAAAAGGAAGAGCGAAAGGAAGAGCGAAGAAAGAGCAAAAGGAACAGCCAAAAATAAGCAAAAGGAAAAGCAAAAAAAAGAGCAGAAGAGCCAAAAAAAGCAAGGGAAGAGTGAGAAAAAGGAGAGCAAAAGAAATAGCAAAAGAGCTAAAGGAAGAGCAAAAAAAAGCAAAAGAAAGAGGGGAAAAAGAGCAAAGGAGCAATAGGAAGAGCAAAAAAGAGCAAATTCAGTCAAAGAATCGGTTCATTAACTTGAGTTTGATAAATGGCATCTAAAATGTGTGTTTGGGAAAGAAAACGTTAGTTAACTAGTGCCATTTCTCTTAACTTAGCTAAAAATGAGGTCTGATGCCTTTTTATTTTCAGTATCCATTCAGAACGGACCTTTGGGTCACTCGGAAGCCGGTGAAATTATAAATTTGTGTCATTTTCTCTTCGCTAATACAGGGCTTGAAATGAACCTTTTTGCTTGGAAACACTGGTGCTCCTAACTTTAAAAGCCAAAAATTTAGTCGTACCCACCAATTATAATTACCGTTACTACAAGTTTTATACAAACATATTTATTGCACTTGAAATCAACAGTAATCAAACTAACAAGCAAAAAAATATATATGCAAGCGTGAGGAATCAAGTTCAAGTTATCAAAATCAAGTTATCACAAGAAAATAGATTTTTATAACATTACTGAGTGACCAAAGGTACATGGAGCGCTCACCGGCCCTACACACACTGCTTGACATGAATTAATCTGTTAACGATATAACTGTGCTGTTCTCACGGGTGCTGTCTGATATTGCACGGATGTTTTTGACATATACTGTACCTCATTATATGCATACGTCTTGTTAATAGCAATACCAGTCTTTTTATGAGTAGAGATGTTAGTTTACTCAGTGCAAGCCCGTTTGCTATGGATGGTGTACGTGGTGTTAAATTTGACATATAGCTGCCAGTTGCACAGCGGACAGCATCTGGCGATTAAATGAAGGATTAAACAGAAGCTCTCGTGCTAGATGTGGCAAACAGTTACCTAAAAATTCCTTCCCACAGACTTTTCATAGCGGACTTGAAGCCAATGGAAGTCTTTTATCCACTCTTCGAAAAGAGATGGTGGATTAACATATAGCACAAGATCACTAGTAAGAAGTGTCATTATTTGTAACTTTAGATGCCATGGTTTTCTAAAACAAAATCTGTCAGTGTTATCTTCATTCTCATCTTCAGCGCTTTTTTTGCGGCAGTAGCTCTCTGTCATCCCAAGCCAGAAGGCATTTACTGAGTGATTGACAGCTAACATTTCAGGGCTAAAGCAGTGGGCCAATAAAAAGAGCGCGAAGGTGCAGTAAGCATAACGAACTTGACTTTGTTTACTGCAGCAAGTTGACATGACAACTGTTTTAAACCATTCCTGAGCGCTGCGTTTTGCGTTTCAAGTGCAGAGATGCATTCTGCGTGAATGTCTCCCGAATCTGCGCATGTGGTGAACATTTTGCAGTAAAAACTGGTCAACACAACAATTTTATGCACTCGCAAAAATGCTCCCAAATATATTTTGAGGTCGCATAGATAATTTTGGGCGCATATGCAACCAAAAAATACTATAAGCATGATCTTTCATAAAGTATTTCTTATCAATATAGAAAACATTTGTGCTCATGATATTTTAATACATCAGACATAATAAATAAGATTGTTCAATATTTAAAAATTTATTTCATAAGAAGAACACTATTTATTTAGATGTAATGCATCCAACCCGGCTGAAAGTTTTCCCTCTACTTAATTCAATTCAATTCATCTTTATATCTATAGTGCTATACAGTGTAGATTGTGTCAAAGCAGCTGAACATAGAAGTTCTAGTAAATTGAAACCGTGTCAGTCCAGTTTTCAGAGTTGAAGTTCAGTTTACTAGACAAGCTTGAAACTAATTAGTTTATTAAAAAAAAAAAAAACATTTACACACTAACAAAACTGCATCTCAGGTATGAACAAGGTCAGCATGTCCAAAGATGCTAATAAAATGATTGTTTTTTTTTAATATTACACGTCACTAAAGGAGTGGGCCCTGGGTGCACAGATAAGACCCTGCTGTCAGCGATTGCCAGTGCGCTTCACACCAGCGCAGCTCCCATCACCGGTCAACTATCCGCCGCTGTGGAGAAAAACCCAGGCGTTTGGCTCAACACAGCTCAGCCTCTTTGTAAGGCCTTCATTGTCACAGATGAGGATATCAGGTATTTCAGTGAGCCAAAGCATTATATTGTATATTAGGGCTGCATATTATTGAAAACACTGATATTGCGATATTTCATTTGTCTGCCATATACAAAGTCAGAAATATTCAAATTTTTAGCCCCGCTGTATATTTTTCAATGACAATAAATAATATTTGACTAGATATTTTTTAAGACACTTCTATACAGCTTAAAGTGACATTTAAAGGCTTAACTAGGTTAATTAGGTTAACTAGGCAAGTTAGGGTAATTAGGCAAGTCATTTTATAACTATGGTTTGTTCTGTAGACAAAGGAAAACAAATATTGCTTAAGGTGGCTAATAATATTGCCCTTAAAATGGATTTAAAAAAAGTTAAAAACTGCTTTTATTCTTGTTGAAATAAAACAAAAAAGACTTTTTCGTGAAGAAAAAATATTCTAGAAAATACTGTGAAAAATGTCTTGCTCTGTTAAACATCGTTTGGGAAATATTTGAAAAATGAAAAGCACAGGAGGGCTAATAATTTAGAATTTAACTGTATATATAGCACTTAAAAGCTTTTGCATCTGAACTCTTCATATTTATTTATTTATTGCGATCTGAATCCAATTTCACAAGATTATCTCTATTTGGAAAGAGTTTGTAATTTTAGATTGTTTTGTTTTGATTATATTGCAGAACAGTGCATCTTTATAAAATATAAACAAATTACAAGCATAGCTGAATACAGTAGAGCAAAAAAATGAATAAGATAACAGTGCTTTGTGGTTTTTCTGGGGAGTCGTAGTAGTTACCACATTTAAAAATTGAATAATCAAAAGTAAAATAACACTGCGTTCATCTGAAGTTGGGGCTGACGCAATCGTCATAGTAGCGTCAGCCAATGAAATTGGTCAGCAATAGGCCACTGGCTGAGCTGGTGTATTTGCATATAGTGATCTGATTGGCTGACGCTTTCGTCGGCGCTTGAAAAGTTGATCAAGTCCCAACTTCTGCAATAAACAATGCTTCTGAAGCCTCGCCGACAGATCCACAGTGCAGTTCTGCAACGTCTGACGTCCCCATTCAAAGTGAATGGGAAGCATCGAAGCTGACGCCCGGTGTGAATGGGGCGTCATGTCGTTCCAAACCCCAGAGACCTTCTTTTGTCTTTAGAACACAAATTAAGATATTTTAGGTGAAATCTGAGACTTCCTTCCTCTATAGGAAGCAAGGGCCCAGAAAAGTATTAAAAGCATCCTCAAAACAGTCCATATGCCTTTAGTGGTTCAAACAGAATAGTATCAAGCTACAAGAATACACGCATAAAAGAAAAGTGTCAGTGTCAGTATATTGTGCACATTCAAGAGATACCCACACACAACGTTTTTTTTGTTTAAAACAAAGCACAGGAGCATCCAAGGTATAAATCAGCAGGCGCCCAAGCACAACACATGAACGAGCACCCTATACTGACAGTGATGAGAAGAAACTTGAATAAACAGGATGTCTACGGGGTCTTAAAAACTATTAAATGGTGATAAATCAAGTTAGAGAAATGTAAAGCCCTTACAAATTGTTAAAGTCTTAAAGGGTCACAAACACCAAAACACATGTTTTGAGATGTTGACAGTCATATATATGTCCCACACTGCTAAAAACACTATTAGGACACATATATTTCACAAAAACTTGAAAATTGTTTTTATTTTGGGTTATTTCAGTATTTCGAGCAAATTCGTTCTTCCAGTTTGAAAAGAAATTTAGAAGCTACATCACGGCGATTAGATCCTTGTGTGAATTCCAGCATGGACACTTGCTGTCTGGACCTGCTGGTACAATGTGATGTCATTGAGTTTTCAGTATTAATTCAAGAGATAGACTTGGTTCGAACTAATCAGCACGCTCTTGTGAATGAGGCGCAACTTCATCATTATGCATGATAGCTTCGAAGACTGTTTTTACCTGTTCCAATGTTCAGACGGCAGAGAGACGCCACGTTGTGTTGCCAACCATAAATAAAACAAGTGAAAGAAGAAGAATTGTTTGAAGACATGGGTCGTCCGTGTTGTGTTTATAAGTGTGCTGTAACGAAGGTTTTGTTTTCATTTCTCCGCTATGAGATCGCAGCTGGACTCATGTGTGGATTACAGTGATCTGCTAACACGCAAATAATGTTTTAGTTTAAGTTTAGTTTCTTGCAATCAGTAATTAGTAAACATACTGCAAGTTAAAATGTCGTTAATGTTACCAGTTACGATCAATTTTTAAAAAGAGTATTCAAGTAGCTTGATAATATTTTGATTGAACTGCTGAAGGCATATGGTCTGTTTTGAGGAAGTCGGGATCATTGATTGCTGTCTATGGAAGATGAGGGAAATCTCTTGATCTAAAATGTCCTAAATTTTGCAAAGGTCAAAAGGTTTGGAACGACATGAGGGTGAGAAATTTGTACAATAATTTGTATTTTTTGGTGACTCCATAACGCGTGTGTTCTGGACTGCGGCACATTGTGATGTTGATGCTGAAACTAAATATTGTGAAACCCTTTTTAACACAATACATACTGTGATACTGTATGATTTTATGGTCACAGAAAGCAAGAGGAGCTGGTATACAGTGTTCGGAAACGGCTGGAGGAGGCTTTGATGGCTGACATGTTGGCTCACGTGGAGGAAACGGCTAGTGAGGGAGAAGCACTCAAACAGGAGGGGAATTGCACTGATGAGAAACAGGAAGTATAGCACAGGTAAGCAAATATGGATAGCTGGAGATAAATTACACATTTACAGACTTTTCTGAAAGGAAAGAAGTTTTAAAGCATATTTTGAGTTACATATTCAGCATATTTTAAAAGGCTGTGTACAAAACTATTACAATCACTGAAACTACGTCATTGAATAGTTTTTCTCAGAAATTCTACTTTACTGAGTAGTTTAAAAATGTAAACTTTTACTTTAGTACATTTAGTACTTTTACTGAGCAAAACCTGAAGTCACTACTTTTATATACCTTTTTCACAGCTTAAAACAATGTTTCTAAAGCACGTTCCTGGAGGACCACCAACATTGCATGTTTGAGATGTCTTCTTTGTCTTTCACACCCATTACAGGTCTTTCAGTCTCTGCTAATGAGCTGATGATCTGAACCAGGTGTGTTTGGTTAAAGAGACTTGGAAAATGTGCAGAGCTGGTGATCCTCCAGGACCGTGGTTGAGAAACACTGGCTTAACATATATAACATGTAACATTATAAGTAAAATAATCGGTCTCATGATTTCCTTCTAATCAAATTGCGCATAGAAAAATCAGAGAGACAGACTGCAAGACACGGACACTTTATAAGTGCAGCAAACATGAAAAGTTTGACTGTTTGGACTGTTTGTCACTGATGAGAAGATAAAAGATGCCTACTGTATGATGACTGAAATCACCAAACGGCCTTAAACTATGGAGCCAGATCAGTCTCCGAAATAATACCTTTACTAAATTGTTAATACATGCACAGCACAATTCCCATTTACAAAATCCAATTTGTAAACGCACAATTTGTAAACACACAAGTAAAAATCATATATATTTTCTGCAAATAAATTAGATCTGTGTATTTTTGAATTGGGTTTGTGTATTTACAAATCGTGTTTTGAATAAACAAACTGGATTTGAGTATTTTTAAATCGTGTTTTTGTGTATTTGTATATTTACGAATTGTGTTTTTTTACATGTACAGCACAATTCACATTTACAAAATCCAATTAGTAAATTTGTAAACACAGAAGTAAAAATTATATATAGTTTCGCCCAATGAATTGGATCTATTTTTGAATTGTGTTTTAAATTTACAAATTAGGTTGGTGTATTTACGAATTGTGTTTTGAATATACGAATTGGATTTGTGTATTTTCAAATAATTTTTTTGAATTTACGAATTGGGTTTGTGTATTTTTGAGATGTGTTTTAAATGTACAAATTGGGTTTGTGTATTTATGAATCGTGTTTTAAATTTACTAATTGGATTTGAATATTTTTGAATTGTTTTAAATTATGAATTGAATTTGTGTATTTTTGAATCTCATTTTAAATTTACAAATTGGATTTGTGTTTTTTTTAATTGTTTTGAATTTCTGAATAGGGTTGTGTATTTATGAATCATGTTTTGAATTTGCGAATTGGATTTGTGTATTTTTCCCAGAGATGGGTTGCAGCTGGAAGGGCATCCGCTGCGTAAAACGAGCTGGATAAGTTGGTGGTTCATTCTGCTGTGGTGACCCCAGATTAATAAAGGGACTAAGCCAAAAAAAAAATGAATGAATTAATTATTTGTGTATTTTTGAATAATTTTTTAAATTTACGAATTGGATTTGTGTAATTTTTAATTGTTTTGGATTTCTGAATTGGATTTGGGCAGTTTTAAATGGTTTTGAATTTACGAATTAGATTTGTGTATTCACAAAATATGTTTGGAATTGGAATTGTGTGATTTGGAATCATGTTTAAAATTTATAAATTATATTTGTGTATTTTTGAATCGTGTTTTAAATTTACAAATTGGATTTGTGTATTTTTAAATTATGTTTTGAATAGTGTTGTGGATGTACAAATTTTATTTTGACAATGTATTATTTTTAAGGGGCTGCACGGTGGCGCAGTGGTAGCAAGATCGCCTCACAGCAAGAAGGTCGCTGGTTCGAGCCTCAGCTGGGCCAGTTGGCATTTCTGTGTGGAGTTTGCATGTTCTCCCTGTGTTTGTGTGGGTTTCCTCTCGGTGCTACAGTTTTCCCCACAAGTCCAAAGACATGTGGTATAGGTGAACTGGGAAAGCTAAATTGTCTGTAGTGTATGAGTGTGAATAAGTGTGTGGTCATCCCAGTGATGGTTGCAGCTGGAAGGGCATCAGCTGCGTAAAACATATGCTAATAAGTTGGCTGTTCATTCCACTGTGGCGACCCCAGATTAATAAAGGGATTAAGCCGAAACGAAAATGAATGTATGATTATTTTTGAGACTGATCTGACTCTATATTAAACAGTAACTACATGCATTACAGAATGTTACGTTTTCAAACAAATGCACAAATGACATGTTCTATATGTGCTTCAGGAGTTTAGATTGCAGCGCCAACTAGTGGACACTCAGTTTGTTAGTCAGGGTTAAAATTTGTAATCTCAGATTTTCAATGTATATAAATCATTAATGGCTAATTATTTAACGTACACTTGAAAAGAAAATGGCACTGATATAAACTACATTTCTCATTTGCAGGGTATAAGATTTTCACAAATTTTCACAGCGTAATCCTCATTGCTACTGAGTAATTTTGGAAGGGCATTTTTTTCTCATATTTTGAGTACAGATTCTTTAACATTTCTTGCGCTGCATTTTTTTGAGTATGATTTTTAATTGACAGATTTTTGGTGGTACTCATTTCACCACTGATAATTAAAAAAGACATGGATCAAAATCAGAGAACGTTTTTTAGATTTCTCCCAGTTACTGGTGTTACATCGTGTAGCGATTTCTTAAAATAACTGACACACAGTTTTTTTTTTCTTGTCTTCAGTTGATTCGTAAACAACCCAAATTAAAATGTTAATGATTAGACTTACTTTATTTCTGGAGAGAAATTCACAAATTTCGATTTTTAGTGTATGAATTATAATGTAGGTTTTCTTTTTTTTTACAGGTATTTAGATGTGTCTGACTGACCTGTTCAAGAGTTTCCCCCAACACAACCAGATGTTCTGCTGATCAACAAAACACATTTTCATCTCCCAGATTAGCAGAATATTCATGTACTCCCATCAGTTGGGATCTCATAGAGACTGTTGGCTCCATCTTTAGGCAATCTTTTTGTTTTATCATTATTGTTCTTTTTTAATATTTTGAATGTTTTCTAAAAAAACAAAAAACAAATTGTTGTAAAGTTCAGCAGTTGAACTGCCTTCTGCATAAAATGTTTTGACTTTTTTTGTTTGTTCGTTTTTTATTTTACATTTATCGAGGAAATTTGACAATCGGGTCAAAAATACAGTCCTCCAGAACTCGTGGGTGCTAAAATTTGTCACGGCCAACCTAAACTGATCTGTTGTGACTAAAATGTTTAAAACTCTTTTTTAAAAAAGGAAAGTTAAAGGTTTCATTTTAAATATTGACTTTTAGTACACTAAAAATGACAGAATTTAGATAAAATATGGACAATCTCAACCCTTAGGTTATGGTTGGGGGTAAAAAAAAAGTTTGTAAAAAAAAAAAATAATAATTACCCAGAAGTTGTTTTAGTTTATATTTTACCAAAATTCTTGTGTTGGGAAAAAACTGCATTAGTGTAATAAATTCACCATAATTTACCCTTTAATTCAAGAAAGGTGAAAATCAGTATTAATACATTCAGAATAGTTTTGTGTTTTTCTCAATGCCAGTGTTTAACTGGGAAACTTGAGGTGTTGGTGAACATTAATAGTTACAAAGTCAGGTTTTGTTTTCGACTCATGTCTGGTGCTTGTTAAAACTACCTGACTTTTCTTTTTGTTTATAAGCTATTCATACTTGACATTGAATAATATTTCCACAGTCTGAACCTGAAATCAAAAATGTGAATGATGATTCATACAATGTGACACGTGATTCATTCAAGGTGATTCATGCTTCGATAACTTAACTAAACATGTTGCTGGGCGAAAAATGTTTTTATCTGTTTTGTTCATTACCCACTTCTGCACAATCACAACCATGTTTGTTCTCCACATTTCTCAAAATAAAATGTTCATGAGTTAAGTCTTGATTTCTTCTTTTTGCAATAATACGAAAGATATTAGCTGGGTCATTCTACAGAAATGTCTGTTATCTGTGACATCAGAAATATTACATTTGAACTAGTCTTATGTTTACAATTTCTTTATATTATAAAATGAACAATACACTCATTGGAGTCATCGATGTGACAATAAGTGTTTTTAATTATCTAAAATTTCAACCACAAAACTGCTTGTGACCCCAGCCACATACAGAAGCAAGATGCTTTATTTTGAGGAGAAAAACTGATATTTTACACTTTAAAGTACAATAATGTTTTCATAACATTCGTGTGTGTATATGATGTAAATTACAAAAAGAAAATGCTGAATAAATACTAACTAAAAACCTGATTAAAACAAGTTAAAAAAAAACTTATTTGATTTTTATCATTATTTTTTCTTACAACTGACAATACTGTGCTGACAATATTATTATATTACAGATAAATAATATTTCATAAAACCTTAAAAAGTAGGTAAAACAAGTAAAATTAAGCTGGACTAAGTTTAAATATTAGAAGAAAAAAAAGTATATAGTTTAAGTAAGAATCATTAGCCCCTTTGTTTTATTTTTTCCCTGTTTTCTGTTTGACAGACAGAAGATTTTTTCAACACCTTTCAAACATAATAGTTTTAATAATTGATTTATTTTATCTTTGACATGATGACAGTAAATAATATTTGACTCGAGATTTTTCAAGTCACTTTTATAGTTTAAAATGACATTTTAAGGCTTAACTAGGTTAATTAGGTTGACTAGGCAGGTTAGGGGAATTAGACAAGTTATTGTATAATGATGGTTTGTTCTGTAGACTATCGAAAAAAAAATAGCCTAAAGGGGCTAATAATTGTAACCCTAAAATGTTTTTATTTTTTTAATTTTTTTTATGTAAAACTGCTTTTAGTCTAGCCAAAATAAAACAAATAAGACTTTCTCCAGAAGAAAAAAAAATATTATCAGACATACTGTGAAAATGTCTTTGCTCTCTTAAACATCATTTGGCAAATATGTAAAAAAGAAAAAAATTCAAAGGGGGGCATATATATATATATATATATATATATATATATATATATATATATATATATATATATATATATATATATATATATATAGATAGATAGATAGATAGATAGATAGATAGATAGATAGATAGATAGATAGATACATACATGTATATATATAGATTACACACATGTGTAAAATAATCCCGCTTTGAAGCAACACTGAATACTATTTTGCGTTATGGTTCAGGTGCATAGCCGTTTTAAATGTCCCTCTCTTTTTACTTAGTGGATTAACTGTTAACTAGCCATTACGGTTATTATGCCAACATCTCTAACAGACCAAAGGGCAGAAGGCCAGCAGTCACTCGCTCTGAGACGCTGAAGAGAACAGCTGAAGTTATAGCGAGATTTACTTTGAGCTGTCAACGAACATTTACTATCTGACCAAATGGCAACCACAGAGCTCTACACAAAGGTAAAGTTTGCATTTTACATTAATGTTTTTATTCTAGATAGAAAACATGACTGAGAGAACAATGAGATCTGAATGAACAAATGATAAGATAGATACAGTATGCAGACAGACAGATAGATGGATGGATAGATAGATAGATAGATAGATAGATAGATAGATAGATAGATAGATAGATAGATAGATAGATAGAGGGACGGACAGATAGATAGATATATGTATAGTTTTGTACATCAGGTTTATTTCTAGTGTTACAGGAGTCTGGTTGGTGTTAATGTTTAATGGTGTGCCGGGTGTATTTGTGCTGATGGAGGAGAAACAGTCACTGGGGTGGGACAGGCAGTTAGTCAGGCACATGAGCTGCTTGTGAAACATTTTAAATAATGAATGAATTTCCACGGTATTCATATCTTCAGACACAGACATAATCAAACCTATAGACTGATCTACAGTCATGCTTCTGGAAGGGGCACTTTAGCTCCAACACTCCTGCATCTGCCCTTAAAAATGTATGATTGCTGTTTGTTCAAACTACTTATTTTTAAGTGAACTGAAACACAATTCTTGATTTTTTTGGGACATCTTAATTGTTTAATGTACTATATACTCAAATTTGTAACTAATATATTAACTAACTTCTTTCATGCTGTCCCTACACAAATCAATTATGTGGAAGCCAGCATTTTTTACGGAGTTTATATTATGAAGAAATGTAATACGGTATAAAGCAAAGAGAATTAAAAGGATTGTTCACTCAAAACTGAAAATTCTGTTATCATTTACTCACCCTTCACTTGTTTAAAACTTATTTGAGTTTCTTTAGTTGAACCTAAAAGGAGATATTTTGAAGAAAGCTAGAAATCTGCAACCATTGACTTCCATAGTATTTGTTTTTTTACTATGGGAGTCAGTCATTACAGGTTTCCAGCTCTCTTCAAAATATCTCCTTAGGTGTTCAACAGAAGAAAAACTCAGAGGGTAAGCAAATAGTGAGTACATTTTCATTTTTGGATGAACTAGCCCTTTAAAAGGCTTTTTGGGTGACATTTACTGTTGGTTATGATTGATATGAATCTAGTCATCATGCTTCTGTTGGCTGTCACAGGGGGCATGTGTGTGGGTGCCAGACCCAGAAGCTGTGTGGGTGTCTGCACAACTGCTTCAAGACTACAGTCCTGGAGACCAGCAGATCTCAATCCAGCTACCTGATGGCAGAGTAAGACACATACACACATATTTCATACTGATATGAGTCAAGCTTATTATAATGTAGCTTTTTCAAATGTAACTTTTATTTTGATGCTATTTTTTAATTGTCTGTACTCTTCAGTTTAGTTTTAGCTTGTGTGATTAATGTTTATGTTAGTTTTACTTTAGTTTTTAATATGCAAATACATTTTATTTAGTTTTATATATACAGCAGGTCACCATTTTTCTTAGTAAACATATTTCTAAAAGTGCTGTTGACTTGAAATTTTCACCAAATATTGGTAAAAATCAAAGAAATCCAAATAAGCAAAGAAAACAAAACAAATTAGTTTTGAATAAAAGTTATGCAGTAAAAAATGAAATGACGCAGGGAAAAAGTTTTGAAAACATGAAAAAAGGGAGGTGTAGAAAGGCAGTGAAAGCCTAGACAGCAGCTGAAATCTCTCAGCAACCTTCTGCCCTTCGTCATTGCAAATGAATACCAGCTTCTTCAGTCCGACATTTACATTATCAGGATGATAAAGATCAAACCAGGCTAAACATTTCAGCAAGACAATGATCCAAAACACAGCCAAGGAAACTCTCAAATGCATTCAGAGAAAGAAAATTAAGCTGTATAATGGCCAAGCCAATCACCTGTCTTGAATCCAATAGAAAATACAAATTAAAGATCAGATTTAATAGATGAGACCCACAAAACCATCAGGATTTTTACACTCTGTCTATAAAAACTCACACCTGAGCAATGTATCTGACTTCATTCTCCATACGAGAGGCGTCTTTAAGCTGCCATCACAAAAAAGCATTTTATAAAAAGTAATAAATACACTAGTTCAGTACTTTCTACTTGTGTCATTTCATTGTTATTTTCATTGTTTCATTGTCATTGTTTTTATACTTAATAACTTTTCAGATTTTTTTCATCTGTTTTCATCTTTATCATCCTGACAATGTAGATGTTTTACTAAAACAGCTGATATTACAGTTTTTTTAGTTGTTTACACACAATTACTTGTACTTCATACCCAATGAACATGTAACTGATGCACCAACCCCCTGAACCAATTCTGCTAAACTACAAGCACAATTCCTGCTTTACACTCAAATTGCAGGTTTAAAACACTGTTTGTTTTAAAACACTACACACAATTGGCACAATATTTCATGCAGAAAATCTATTGTTTTCACAAGGAACACACTGTCTTTCAAAATTGTAAAGTCAGTGGTTATACTTTGCATACTAACTCATCACATAGGTAAATACCTGTCACACATAATTGCAATTTAGAAATCAGGTTCATAACTGGTTCACTGCCCTCCACGTTTTTTAGTTGTTTATCTCTCTCCATATTCTCCATTCCTCAATCCTATTGAGGACTTTTTTTTCTGCCTGGGGATGGAAAGTGTATGGCCGAAATCCACACAATTCTTTTTTTTTTTTTTTACTGTAACTGTATTCTGTAAATACTTTTGTTGATGGTATGTGTAGACCACTTTATGTGCAACTTTGTGTTGGTTGGGTTGAATGCTGTGTATACTGTTTTTGTGGAAAAATTACAGTAAAATATACTTGGTACCGTGTGTTTGTGTGTTTTGTATAAAAACAATATTCTGAAATATTTTACAAAGCACTCATGTAGGCCTTTTGTACTGTCTGTAGTAAGTGTAACACTAATCCCAGTTAAAAAGGCTTACAGTAAGTCATTATGATGAATGGAAAAGAGGTGATCAGTGTTTTACATGAAGCACATCAGTGATCAACTGGTTCTCATAAATGTCTATTCATGTGACTGTTTGTGTGTGCCATTTGAAAACAAAATAACATTTTGAGAAGAAATTACATCATTTTCAATATAAAGTTTTATTTTGCAGGAGAGTTTAAGGGTTTTGCCCAGTGTGCATGTTTTTCGACTTGGGTGTAGAGTTCTGACAATATGAGACTTGCTTTCAGAAAATGTGTGTAAACAATTGGGAAACACTGTTATTTAAAATGACAAAGGGCAGAGGGTTGCTGAAGAACTACTGAGAAATTTCAGCTGCTGTCTGGGCTTTCCCTGCCTTTGTTCATGTGTTCAGTAATTTTCCCCTGTGTCATTTCTTTTTTCGACACTTAAACTAATTTGATTAGTTTTCTTTGTATATATGGATTTCGTTGGTTGCTCACAACCTTTGGTGAAATTTTCAAGTCAACCGCACCTTTAGAAATATGTTTTCTGAGAAAAATGGTTGAATATTTATTTTCCCAGAGGTACTCTTACAAGACTAACTGCCTCTTAATTTATATATATACA